AATTTTTCATCATCCTGATCCACATCATCCTGATCCACATTATCATGTTCCACATGCTGCGGATCCACATTTCTAGGTTCCACATAATCTAGATCCACATTATCATGTTCCACATCACCTACCTCAATTCCACGGGTAGCCACATCTTGATTATAAAGCTCTTCAAACCATATTGACTTCTCTTGGTCAATTAAGCGTTTGGTCCAACCATCAGCTATTGGATCATCCACATCATTCCATCCATTATCGATCTACTTCCATGATACGGTCTAGAAGACGTGTCTCACGAGAAGATGGAGGCAAGATACTATGAATATCTTGTAAAAAAAAATAGAATTATACAAGTTATGAATTCTGAAGCAAGTTATACTAATTTGTACAATTTCAAAACAAGTTATACTAAATAACCTTAGCTGTACCAAGACAGTCATAAATTTCTATCAAAGAAAAGCCTTTCATTTTGCTGGGTTTATATTTCATCCTGCACATCCGAGGACACTTACGGTGTGCATGTGCATTACTAACATCTTCTCGGAAACGATTTAAGATTTCTGTCCCAAGGAGTAGACAAAACCATTTAAAAAACGAAAAAAAAAAAAAAAAAAAAAAAAAAAAAAAAAAAAAAAAAAACTTCGATTTCCTCCTCGGGTTCCTGTAAAATAGATCAACATACACTAAGTTATACTAAGTTATACTTTTTGATTCAAAAATTATAGATCAAGATACACTAAGTCATATTAAATTGTACTTTCTGTTTTAGGAAATTTAGATCAAGATACACTAATTCATACTAAGTTGTACTTTATAATTTACGATTTTTAGAACAAGATACACTAATTCATACTTAGTTGTACTTTCTGATTTAGGAAATTTAGATCAATAACCTAGACATACCGTTGAATCTTGAGGATTAGACTTAGTATTTTGGGATTCATCTCCATGAGTTTCTTCTTCTTCTACGATCTCATATGTTGGATTTGGTTGTTCACGATAGTTTGGGTTCTTTGTACGCACCATTTCGATTTATGTTCTTGCTCAAACCAAACAACAAAAACGATTAACAACTCCAATCGGATTCTAACCTACTTAAATAATAAACAAACTCCAATCGACAACACCCAATCACGGAAGAACTAAATAGCAATTTTTACTTACACGGGAGACACAAGCTCTAGTTATCCACGGTTGTACTCTCGAAGAAGAAGATAATGAAACGAGGAAAAAAGGAGTCGATTCGATTTCTGTGTTTTAAGGGAGAGAGAGACAAGAGAGATCCAAAATTATGTAGGTTTCTGAGTTTGGGTGGGGATAAGGGTGGTTGGATCTGTAGTTTTCAAGTTTTTTAAGGGGTATGAATGTCTTTAGCCGCATTTTCTATCTAAAAAAAAAAAAACAGTTGGCAATTTCGGAAAAGGTATATTTGATTTAAGTTTGTGATCAAAAGGCATTGGAGATGATTCTCTAGTTTGTAAGCTCTTTTGGAGAGAGGACGACAAAGACGAAGATAAATTATTGGTGGGGGTCACATGATTTTGTTCTCCTTTTTTAAAAAATATAATTTTGAATTTCGTTTAATTAAAATAATCAAGGGCAAAGAGAACAAAAAAAGGTCAACACAAAGTCAAAGGGTACCAAAAACATAACAAAACATTGTTGAATTGTTTTTGTGGTCAAAGGGCAACATAGATGATTCTCCAAAATTATTTCGAGTTGTGGAGGCAATTACATAACTACCAAAGTTATGGGGCAATTTTCGTAATTACCAATTTTTTTGAGATTCTACTGTTTTTTTTATTTTATTTTATTATATCAAGTTATACGAAAAAAATAATAATAACTTAAATACAAAAAAGTGAAACGAAACTATTGAAAGGCAATGAAGCTTCCTAAAAATTAACATTTTCTCACTCTTGGGAAAAAGGAAATAACGAAATAGCGAAATGTTAATATATTCACTAGGGAAATGTTAACTTGATCACAACGGCTATAATTAGTTACTAATCACAGTAATTAAACCACTAAACTCAATGGAAAAATGGAAAAAACAAAAAGCCCTAAACTCAAATGTAAGTATTTAAGGTAAGAGAAGGCACTTCTTTTCTCATTTTCGCTCAGTTTCTCCTCTCTCTATACAATTTCCTTGTTCCTCACGTCTTTGCTCTCAGAACTTTGAGTCTTTCGGTTCGATCACAATGACTAGTATGTATTATGATGATTACCTTACGGATTCGAGGAAGGATATATGGTCGGGTTTATGTTTACTGGCGGATGCGGCGGTTATGGTTGCGGAAGAAGAACAACGTCGTCGTCTTCTTGCAGAGAAAGGAGAAAGATGCCACAAGACTGTCTCTGAAGAAGAAAATAACCAGATGAGATTCTTCTATCTTTTCCCGAGAAAAATTAGGTCTTCTTTGGTGAAGAAAAGATACACACAACAAAACCCTAACGTGGCTTCTACTTCTTCTTCATCACTTCTCGATCTTAACCTAATCACCACTGATTCTGAGACAGAAAACGTACAAAACCCTAGTTCTGATGATGAGCCTTTGGTGTGTGATGAAGAACAACGTGCAAAGAAAGGTAAGTCCAAGATTGTTTGCGATGAAGATTATGACGACGAGAGTGAGAATAGACTCTTCGAGAAGAATGTGCAGAAATTTCTAAGAGAAAACTTTGATAATCTTAATGGAGCTTCTACTTCTTCATCGCTCATGAACCTTCATGGTCTTGAACCTTCGACAGAGACGAAAGACATAACAAACCCTAATTACCAATCTTCTTCTCCGTCTTCGTGCCTAACAGAGAACACAAGCAGCAAGAGGCGTGCGGTGGAACAGAGAAAGAGCAAGGGTGGATTCAAGAAAGCAAAGGTTGTACTTTATCCATGCGCGGTGAGAGAGACACCAGAGTGGGTTTTCCAGGTGATGAGATACATGAACGCGGATGCCGAAAACCCGAGGCTGATATTTGAGAGGATTCTGTTCAATAGTGATGTCAACTCAAACTTGAGCCGTCTCTTAATCCCTTTTCAGAAGCTAATCAGAAACGACTTCTTGACGCCTTTGGAGTGTCGAGCCTTAGAGAGAGATGAAGACAATGAAGATGAAGAGAATATTGGTGTGGGAACTATTCTTGTGAATCAAAGGTTTAAAATGTGGGGTTTACGTTTTAAGATATGGGTGATGGAGAAGAAGGATTCTGGACATGGAACCTTGAATTACACTTTGAATTGGGGTTGGAACGATGTAGTCAAGGGTAATGACTTGAAAGCCCATGACAAGATCAGTCTTTGGACTTTCAGGTGCCGTGGAGTCCTTTGCTTTGCACTTGACATAGAGTAGCTCTTCACTTGTTCACTACCTATTCGGGTGATTCTTGAGGTTTTTGGTATAGTAGTAACTTCTTGGAAGTGTTAATTAACAAAATTAGGGATTAACTACGATTATGATCTTTCATGTTGGTGTTGTTCTCTCCTCTATTATTATTAGTAACTTGTCTGTCTCCTATGTTGTCTCAGATCCTTTACCATTGTTTGAAATAAACATTTTGTCATGATGGTTTCTTGTTTTTGTCTTCTTCAGTTATCTCTGATTTCTTGTAATATTATCTCGGTCAAAATGCTCAATACAAAAAATAATCAGGCTTGTTTTCTTTCTTCTCAGTGAGATTCTGATTTTAATTTATCAATTTGAGAAAACTATATTTGGTTGATCAAATCCAGAACCAAAGATATCGAAAATAAGAAACAGTATAAGAAAAAACCAAGTTTTGATTTCATTAGAAGGAGAATAGGAAATTTTTGAGGAACCTAGAGGAGGAATAAATCGCAAGTAGTTTTTCCAAACAAACAAACAACAATAAAACTGTGTCCTTATAAGAATCCTGAGCTATCCCTCACTCAGATTATCATATGAAAGTTTCTACCATTATAAAATGACTTCCTCTTCTTCAGGTTCACTCGGCACCTTCGGGCTTCGATGCCTCCTTGATCTCATCTCCTGCTTCGTCCTATTCACAAGAAAGTAACAATCATGTCAATTACAGAACTTCTACTGCTATCTAAAGTTTCGAAGTTAAAGTTGTTTTACGAAAATGTTTGGTTTGATTCGGGGAAATCATGTCAATGATCAATGTATATTGTGTTTGATGCTTACAGTCATATCTGAAGTCCAGAGAGTGAGATTGTCTCTAAGAAGCTGCATAATCAGTGTACTGTCCTTGTATGATTCCTCACCCAATGTATCCAACTCAGCGATAGCATCATCAAATGCCTGCACAAACCCAAAAGAGTTCGCTCATTCAGTGAGATAATAGTTAACATGAAGCAAAGAAAGTGAAATCAGGTGTACTATACAAACCTGCTTTGCGAGGCTGCAAGCACGATCAGGCGAGTTGAGGATTTCATAGTAAAACACAGAGAAGTTGAGGGCAAGACCAAGCCTTATCGGGTGAGTGGGAGCTAACTCAGCAGTGGCAATGTCCTGCATTATTACAAAAACATAATCAATCATAGCCACACAAGAAAATAACATTCAAAATGTTGTAAGAATGACTTACGGAAGCAGACTTGTAAGCAACCAAAGTGCTTTCAGCAGCTTCTTTCCTCTCAGCACCAGCCTTAAACTCGGCAAGATACCTATGATAATCTCCCTTCATTTTAAGGTAAAACACTTTAGATTCAGCAGGTGAAGCAGAAGGAATAAGATGAGCTTCAAGAACATTCAAAATCCCATCACAGATTTTGCTAAGCTCGGTTTCAATCTTTCCCCTGTAATCCTTGATAATAGCAACGTGATCCTCATTCCCTTTGCTTTCTTCTTTCTGCTCAATCGAAGAAATGATTCTCCACGAAGCTCTTCTCGCTCCAATCACGTTCTTGTAAGCAACAGAGAGAAGATTCCTCTCTTCAACAGAGAGTTCTTCAGCATCAACAGTTTTCGCAACTTTCTCCATGAATTCAACCATTTCTTCATAACGTTCAGCTTGTTCGGCTAATTTCGCCATGTAAACATTCTCTTCCCTTGATGCTTCAGTCGACATCTTCGATTTTAACAATCTAGAGCAAATCCTACAAAATCAGAAACAATTGAATCACACTATAACCCAAATTAACCACTTAATTAAGTTCTTCTTCATAGATTAAGAATCTAAAGCAAATATCAACAAAATCAGAAACAATTGAATCGAACCAGAACTCAAATTAACATCTACACAGTTATCCACTTAATCAAGTTCTTCACAGATTAAGAATATAAATCAAATATACCAAATCACTTCGAATCAAATCGTAACACAAATTAACATATACACATTGATCCACTTAATCAAATTCTTCACGGATCCACAAATGAATCTAAACAATAACCCAAATTAACATCTATACACTCATCTAGATTAAGAACACACTAAAACTAAGACTGAATCGTTCATGGTTTACGAATCTAGAGCAAATCCATCAACGCAAAAACCATTGAATCGAGAGCAAATCATTCAAAAGCAGAAACAATTGAAGAAAACCGAAACCCAGGTTTAACATCTACACACGAATCGGATTTGAGAACAAACACACGCGTACTCTCTCACTGAATCAGTGATAAGAACACAGCGAATCGATGAGATCGATATCTCCAGAATCATACAATCGAACATCAGATCTACACACAAACAAGAACAAGAACGAATGATTAGAGAGAGATTTACCTTTTCTTTTTTCTTTTTCGTTTGAAGATCTGATTCGAATTTGCAAGTTGTTTGAAAAAATGGAATAAGAAGAGAGACTCAAATACAATGAAAATAATAATTGAATAATGAATAAAAAACTGTTTTCGAGGCGTAGAGTTAAGAGATCCAATGGATGGTTGACAAGTGTCGGATGCTGAAGATTACTGATACATTGAATCTGACACGTGTGTAGCCATGCTAGTGGTGAGATCTCTTATTTAACAACTCTGAGCTGATAAATGGGCCTTTGGGCCTAACGGGTTATTATTACTTGAAACATTTACAACTCTTCTCTCACTACTAGTTTAACACATCACGGATCAAATTTGAGATTACGACGATCATCAATACTCTAGTAATTGACATAGCATAGCTTGAGGCTATGAGAAAATAATGTAAGCACCAGCTATTGGATCTCAATTGCGGTTTCGATCTAGGCCAGATCTGTTAAAAGACGGTTTATTATTTAGTTAAAGCAGAGCAATATTGACCATTCTTAACTCTTAAGAGATGAGTCAAATAGCACCAAATCTCCACTGTTGATCTACCAAAAGAGGAGCATCTTCAAACCAGATAAACTATGATAGTTTTAAATGTATAACATAAACACATCAACTCCCATGAACATAAACATGAAACTGTCAAATGGCATTGGAGAAGAGATTATCATATTAAAAAGAAAGAAGAAAAAAAAAAAAAGAAGAAAAAGAAACAGAAAGATGGGTCTCTGAGTTTAGGGAGGAGGAATGGATTTGCTCTGTTTATTGGTCCTCAAACTCATGCATGTGATCTAGAAGGTAATTCGCTGCAAGTTCTTCATTCTTGTTACACGCAAAGAACACTTCCAAGACCATCGCACGGTCAAACCCCATTGCTTCAAGCTGTGCCCCCAAAACAAACAATAACACAATCACATTTCAATACAAGACATATATTTTGAGGGACATAGTGCAGCTAGAAAATGCATCTAGTTTAAAGTACACATGTAAAGATCAGAGGAACAAACCCGTTCAATGGCTTCACGCTCTTCAGGTGTAACTGTAACAGCTTGTGGCATTGCTGCTTCTAACTGTTCCATAACATTCCTGGTAGCATTGGTGAGGTAATGAATTGTCAGATTACAGGCTTTATTGAACAACAGAATAAATGCAAATGTAAAGGAGAATGATGATCTAAAGTATAAACTCACTCTTCTCCCTCGACAGGTTCATTTATCAAGCGTAGGAAGTCAGCCTGGTGCTCTTGAATTAGTCGCACAAGCTGCGGGTTTTGTTTACCGAGCTCCTGAAGCATAGGCTGCAGAAGGAAACAGTATAAGTGAAAATTAATATCATATAACCTACGAAAGCAAGAAAAAGAGGTTGATAATTTTACCTGTAGAATTTGTGGGTTTGCTTGTACCATAGCTCGCAAGGCTTGGAACTATGAAAAGGCAAAAGAATTGCAAATGTCATAAGAAGAGAGAAATGAAGATTCTGTTTTCAAATGGAAAAGAATTTGAAAATACCTGCTGGCTATTACGCAGGAAATCAAGATTACCAGCTCCAGCAGCAGCATCTGCAGCGGGCATGCCCTGTGTGCAGAAAGATAAGAGTGGATGTCAATAAAACAAATATACAAGTGAAAACGTAAATAAAATGAAATAGGTCCACCAGTTTATAAACCCTACCTGGGGGAACAGGTTTAATGGATTTGCGTTTGGACCACCAGTTGCAGCTACCGGAGCTGCTTGTTGGGGCTGTGCTTGAGGATTTGCTGGCTGTTCACCAGTAGACGGGGCTTGAGCAACTGGCGGGATTTCAGCTTGAGCAGGGATACCCTGAAATGTATCAAACAAAAGTTCAATAGACTAGACAGAGCAAATGTTGCTAAAGTTCTAGCAAACCGCAAATCAAAGGTAAAAACAATTGTCAAAGTAAAACATAAAATCAAGAAGTGGAATGAATCATACTGAGTACAGATATTCAACGGCTCTTTCAGGATTGTTGAAGGCGGCTCTCAGAGCACGAACAACAGTGTCACGGTCCCAACTACCTCCACCCATGTCAAGAATTTGCTGAACAGTGGACTCTAGAGTAGTTCCAGCAACAAGGTTTGATGCTGCTTGACCATACACATCTGTTTGAACCCTGTTTCAACCAAGCAAGAGGACAACATTAAAATGATCATCAATCAGTGAACAGAAATTCGAAAACGAATAGAGTACAGTTCTGAGAAGTGCTTACGAAGCAGCAGCAGCAGCTGGAGCTGCAGCGGTTGCAGTTCCACTTGTAGGCTCTGGACTGCAAAAAGCAAGTAAAAAGAACAGAAAATCATCAAAGCGGCAATTACAAAAGAGGCTGACAATTTCTCTTTCAAAGAGGTATATCAAAGCGAGAGGAAGGCCCAGAACTCACACTGAGACAGTTGGAGCAGAAACCTGAGGTGTAGCAACTGTCTGTGCAGGCTGAGCCAAAGAATCCAAGCAATTCCATTAGACAAAACTAATAGTATGATCTAGATATACTATTTTGTTTCTTGCACTTACAAATAGAAAGCCTCAAACACGAACACCTAAGTAAACCATAACAATAATACATAAGAACGTTATTCACCTGGGTAGCACTAGGTGCTGGTGCAGATGCGGTTGATGCCCCACTTGAAGAAACCTTGGTCTATATTTCATCAACATAAATAATAAAACATGTTAACATCCGCTGAATTACTAGAATCCTGATTTCTAATACTAACACGAAACTGTGAAGTGACCTAATACATCACCTTGGACAACATGATAACAATGAAACTGTTCTCAACAACATTGTTCTCTTCCAATGTGGTCTCATCCTTTAGAACCTTTCCTTGGTGGATCAGCATCTGCTTCACAGCAGGGTATTCTGCACCTTTAACAGTTTCTATAGCTTTTTTAACATCAGAAACCTGAGATCACCAAAAATGTCAATAAGCCTCTCAATCACACATAACTCAAATACTAAATCATATAGACATCCTTAATCTAAAGGCTATCAAGAAGATATGAGACTAGCAATGAAAAAAATAAGTCACAACAACGAAAACTTCACAATATTATATCATTACGTCAGATAATCCATAAGTGCCTCAAGGTTTAGCAAATATAATGAC